TGCCCGGCCATCGATGATTTAGTGTTATGAAAATGCATAAAAAAAAATAAAGGATGAAGTGCATGATCAAAAATAAAAATGGAGGATAATCCAATGTGATTTAGTAGTGCTATATATGTGTGTGTGTCTGTTTGTATATGTGTGTGTGTGTGTGTATTGCAACTCATGCGAATGGTAAAGCTGAGATCGATGTAAGCTTTGTTTGAGTAACATTATTTTTAACTTGCATCAAGAGTAATGCTAGAAATCGGAAAATCTTTTTTTTTTTGTGATGCATCATGAATATTTATTGTCAATTCATCTAATTTATCACATTACATGGATTTTATTTTATTAAGAATTCCTCCATCAAAAAATTCCATTCTGGAATTGACTATTTTCTTGTTCTCAACTCCTGATATTGGTGTCTAGCATGTAAAGTTTTTCATGATTATTAGAAATCTTTGGGACGAAGGGAGTTTCTGTTAAGAATATCAGAAGCAATTGAACATTCCTACCATTATTCAAAATGTAATTTACTTCTTGTTGAAAATTTTGAAATATCCATTATATTCATCAACTAGGATATTCAGAAGTAATTCAAAATTTATGACATATGTAACATAGAGGTTTAAGATTATTTGGTGAAATTATTAATATAAATTTGAGAAGTTTTAAAATGTTCTGCCAATTACAGCCCTAATACCCAAATACAGTTGGCTCTCTACTTTTGAAATATAAGCCTACGTGACAGTTTTGGGTAACGGGTTTGATTAGACAATCTGTTAGTAATGTATTGGAGGGTCAACCCATTCATATGGGTTGGACTTTCTTTGTACGCCTGGGCCTAGACTCAAACAGCCCAACAAATTATTCCTTTTGTTTTAAAATAGTTGTCCATCTTGAAATGTGTGACTGATAATGTTCATGTTGAAAACTGTGACTCATTGTGTGTCAACACCTCGCCACTGGGAAAAGTGGTCCAATGGAAATCCGGTAGTCGTTGGTGACGGTCTAATGAAGGACAACGATAGGTTCCAAAAATGACAAGGAAGTTATTTTTGACGGACTTAGAAAACATTTTGCAAAGGAGGTGCATGAGACATGAAATCCCTAGAAGATGCGAGCATTTCTCTCTATCCAAATACAATAAACGGTTGCGAAGAGAGATAGGATTTGATTGAGCAAGCTCTATTAGTTAATGTTCGAGGAGATGAATTGACTACTTCTCTTTCGAAGATTCAAGACTCACAAAAGCACCTATTGACCTCCTTGTACCTATCTACGTACGAGTAATTTAAAACAAACTTTCAGACACAAATGGATGAATGTTGAGTTGGGCCGGGGTTTGGCCTACATCATTCATTTTTTATCTATCACTTTGAAAAATAGATAAAATTAGAGATACCAATATGCTAGTGCTTCAATTTTCTCTGGTTTTAAATTGTTCAATTTTTTTTCACATATGCATAATATATATACTTGCTTTCCTTACCCTAAAAAAGGATAATGGTGTGTATAATACACATTTGTCTGCATATATACAAATGATATATAATGTCCACATTTATATATATTTACTTGCACATGCCAATATTGCAACCCATTTGTACACACAACTACTCTAAAATGTCTATGTTCTTCTTTATTTACATATTTATATGGAGTATCATGTATTTTTCTCATGAAATACTATTTTTAGGTCCAAAGTAAAACATTTCACAAAAAAATGGGTTCATTGGATGAATGGCTAGGATATTCAAATAAAGCTTCCGGAATTCAGAACACCACTTGAGATCATTTGAGATGGTCCTGATTGCACCATGAAGAAAAAGAGAAGAATATTTCATATCCCCCCATTTTTTTGTTTGTATGTATAATCATGGATACTCAACTAGCCTCAAATGTCTGTCTACTTTTGGAGCATTGAATTTGAAACCTTAGAGTGGACTTAAAGATACAGTTCCATGATAAGACTACCTAAATGCACACCCACTCAAAAACCCCACTTGTACTAGGCAGGTCTCACCTGCATTTGTCTAGATTCTCTGTTATAACCAATACTTGTTCTTGCCGTTCTGGAAAATTGTTGGACACACTTAATTTTTTTTTTTTTTTTTTTTTTTTAATATATTTATAGGAGTGACTATTTAAGTTCAAATCTATTAGATCGTCAAAATTCCCTTACTAAAATTAAGTCATTTGGATATTCAAAATTAAGTGAGTGGGTTAAAAGTAAATACCTATTCAATTCAAGGATCAATGGTAAATTAAGAGTGGGCACTCATCGTCAAACAAAATCATTTCTTCCTTTTTTTTCTTTCTCCTCTGTTTTCTCTCTTTTCTTGTCATGGAAAAAACAAAAAAAAAATTGTAATACTTGAAATAATAAAATTAATGTAAAAAAAAAAAAAAAAATTTATCATTCAACAATCATAATAATAATAATATTACTGGAAGTGTAGGTTTTCTAATATTATTAATATTAACATTTTCTGTTTCTATCTCTCTCCCTATTCTTCTCCTCTTTTTTCTTTTCTTTTTTTCTATCTCCTCCTGTTCTCTCTTCCCCATGTTTCTCCGTTTCTCACTCCTGGAAAAAACAAAAAATTTTAAATTAAAAAAAAAAAATTAATTTTTTAAAATTTTTTTACCTCTTTTATTTTTATTTTTTTGGTGTCTCCCATTCTATCTCTTCTCCTTTTTTGTCCTCCCTCCTCCGTTTTCTTTCCTCTCTTTATTTATTTATTTATTTTTGGACTGTGATAACTCTCAAAATAAGTTGTATATTGACTTTTTTTCAAAAAAATAAAATAAAATAATTAAAAAAGGGAAAAAAATTGTAACAAGTGAGACCAAAAAATTAATAAATTTAATATAAAACAATTTTTTTTTTTTTTTTTTTTTTGGTATTCAACAATTAAAATATTTTGACAATTTGTATTTACAAAAATTTGGGTAATTGGATTGGGAGTGTGTTAACTAACCCATTTAATACCCAACCATTTTATGACCCATTATAAATGGGTTAATAATGAGTTATTGACCTGACTTGCCCATTCATAATCAACCCAAAATTCGCCTAAACCCACCCAATTGCCACCCCTACATATTCATTCTGGATTCACCACATTTAATCTACAATGGAACAAATGTGTTAGAAACAAATTTTAAAATATTGAAATCTCTTTTCAATATTATTATTTTTAATTTTAATATACTTAAATCGTGTTTCAGCACATATATTTTATGCATTGAAATTGCATTAAAATATAAAATAATTGTGTTGAAACATAATTTAAATGCGTAAAAAAAATACTACAACACCGTCCGATAAGGAACTAGTACAGCAGAGGACCTGAACTCGGTCTGGCCTAGTTATAGATACAATTTTAATGCCTATATCCAATTTTAAGACTGGTCCCAAAACCAATGGGGGGTTGATATATATTCTTTTAGGAGCATTCACACAACACAACCTTGTACAGGAAGCTAAAGATGGCATCATGTAAAACACAAAAAGATGGATAAGACTCAAAGTAGAAACAAAAACTGATGCATGCCTCAAAAGCCCATCTTTTTTCCATCATCATCATTTTGCCAAACCCACTCTTATGACCCACCCAGCCCACAATTTGCATTTACTGGGGCTAATTATTCATGCACCTTCTCTTTCACTGCCTAGATTCCTTTGAATTTCGGTTTTATGATAGCCCCACCCTCTTAGGATTCCATATCAAATATTCGAAGTCATAACAAAAAATTGATCGATCGATTTTTGTGTCATTACTCCAGTGAAAAACTAGTCTTATGTTTGACTTTCACAATACGAGCTTCAATCGGTGAAGCTGCAACTTGAATTCTGAGCAACATCAACTTGAAAGTTAATTTCCTTTAATATTTGGAATGATTTCGGGACCAGCTTACTGTTTGGGAATCAAATTAAAGCGTACATATATTACATGAATTTGATAAGGTGACCAATTAATGGCGATAGAATAAAAAATAAAAAATAAAAAATAAAAATCAGCTTTTAAAAAATACGCACATGGGAGCTAGCTAGAATGTGGAGAAAGGATGTTTTCCACTAATTGATTGATTCTTCTCTCACAAGTCAGACCTATGTAAAGGTTTAATTTGCTCCAATGAGTTTTTTTTTTTTTTCTTTTGATAAATACAAATAAATAATTTTGTTATGAGATTTTATTTTGTTTATGTGAAGGCAAACGTAAAATTATTCTATTGTAACTTAAATGCTGACTGACACACACTTAAAAATCCATATATGAAAAATCTTATACAATAAGTAGTAAACCTATTTATTTATCTATTTTTTCATATTTATTTTATATGTAGCAGTTGTTAAAACTCAAAAATTGGTGTGATGGTATCATAAAAGTATTGTAGATATAATTTCTAACTTCCTACACATTTTTATTTTATTAATCATGCATAAGTATTCATGATTCATGGCTCACTTCTCATTGACGCAACAATATTGAACCGTTCATCTTAATCCAATTTTCCAACGTACGCATTAAAATTCCATTGACTAAAAAGAAACAAACAGTAGTTCTGAAAGGGGTTGATGAACAGTTCTAAGACAATTAATAATTAATTATATGTATACCTATATACGGTAGTATATACACACAAATGTTGCCGTGGAAGGTAAACATGAATATTTCTAGACCAGCAAACTAAAGAATCCTCCTTGGTTCTAGAAATATATACTGATATTGATGACAATAATGTTAACATCCTCCATAATAACTTGTTCAAATTCTAACACGATATTAATCCTCTACCCTCCAAGTTGGATTTCTCCCCGAAAGTGGGCTGTTGGGCTGGACCCCACAGGCCGCAACCCATCTCTCTCTATGCTGCCTTTAACTTTTCTTCTTTATCCAAACCATAAGGCGTGCCACTATACAAGGAAAAAGGAAAAAGGAAAAAGCAAAAAAAAAAAAAAAGAGAGTATGAATATTCTCTTTTATCTCTAATTGTGGCACTATATATATAAGTCCCCCCTTCCACTTATTCATTACTTGTCCCATTCACACATTCATCCTCTCCTTGGACTTAGCTAAATAGAGAGAGGTACATCTCTCTCTCTCTCTCCCCATATATATATATATATATATATATCTCTCTGATGGGCTGTAAGACCCAATTTTTCACTTGTTATATATAGAAAGGTAAAGGTTGGGCTTAATTGAGAAGCCCACGATGGTTCAGCTTATCTATCTTGTTACTGTTAATTTTTCTTGTAAATAAGTGTTTAGCTTGAGTTTACTCTTCTCACTTGGTCCTTTTGGTAGCAAGATTGCAATATTCTATAGCTAATGACCATTTTCACTTATGGAGTCGTACTATAAAGATCGAAATTGTAGGTCTTAATAGCTTGGGATTAGTATTCTGTGTAAGTTAGGAGATAGACTTATAACTGGTTTACAAAATTTTATAGTACAATTTCAATTCCATCAATATCCCACTTGTAATATCTCATTTGAGCAAGTAGTGAAATTGATAAACCCGAGCCAACCCCTTACATTTGAAATTGGAGAAAACTTAGTTCAAATTGAATTTTCTCTCCAATTTCGAAACATTGATTCGATGCTTCCAAACACAACTATAGTTATTATATCTAAATAGCACAATTCATTAAAGTTAAGTACTCTAAGCACTTAATTCATTTATTTTTTGAAACCGTTTAGAAAGACTATTGAGTTGGATTTGGCTTTTTCTTTTGCAGCAACAATGATCTTTAGAACATGCTTGCTGTTGTTGGCTTTCATGAATATTACAACTTCATTTGCTTCAACGGCAAAACAAACATATGTTATTCATATGGACAGGACCAAGATCACTGCTCTAGACACATCTCTAGGAAATTCCAAAAGATGGTATGAAACAATCATTGACTCCATCACCCATTTATCAGCTCAACAACATGAAGAGGAAGGAGAAGAAATATCACCTCCTCAGCTCCTCTATGTCTACGAAACCGCCATTTCAGGTTTCTCTGCAAAGCTCTCCACCAAACAACTCGAATCACTGAAAACCATCAATGGGTTTCTCTCTGCTTCTCCCGATGAAATGCTAAGTCTCCACACCACACACTCCCCTCAGTTTCTTGGCCTTAAGAGTGGCAAAGGACTTTGGAACGCTCCAAACTTGGCCTCTGACGTCATAATCGGTGTCGTTGACACTGGAATATGGCCGGAACATGTCAGTTTCGGTGACTCAGGCATGTCTCCGGTGCCTTCCCGATGGAAAGGCAAATGTGAACAAGGGACAAAGTTTGTGCCATCAAATTGTAACAAGAAGCTTATTGGTGCAAGAGCTTTTTTCAAAGGGTATGAGGCCAATGGCGTCAGAATTAATGAAACAGTTGATTATCGATCCCCTCGTGACTCAGAAGGCCATGGAACACACACTGCTTCAACCGCAGCTGGTACTGTCGTAGCTGGTGCGAGTTTTTCGGGCATGGCCAAAGGCTCTGCTGGTGGTATGAGGTATTGTTAACCGTGTCAAAAATTAAGCCGTTAGATAAAGTATAACTTAATTATTTATATTTTCTTACTTGATATCATGCCAACCATCTCCACTCTAAAGATTTAGTTGTTAAAGTTGCAACTTTTAGTTATTTGTGTTGTCAAGCAGGTATACAGCAAGAATTGCAGCCTACAAAGTTTGCTGGGCACTAGGCTGTTCTAGCTCTGATATATTAGCTGCTATAGACCAAGCAGTAAGCGATGGCGTGGACGTGTTGTCACTCTCTTTAGGAAGCACTTTGCATCGGCCTTATCATAGTGATAACATGGCTATAGCTACATTTGGTGCAATCCAAAATGGGGTTTTTATCTCATCTTCAGCTGGCAATTCAGGCCCCTCTAGTTCAAGTGTAAGCAATTTTGCACCATGGATCATGACCGTGGCAGCGAGCTTCCTTGACCGGAGCTTCCCAACTACTGTTAAACTTGGCGATGGACATAATTTCAGAGGGGCATCACTTTATTCAGGCAAGCCTACTAAGCAACTACCACTTGTGTATGGTGAAACTGCGGGTGGCCAAGGAGCTGAGTACTGCACTGATGGCTCTCTATCAGCTAAGCTCATCAAAGGGAAGATTGTTGTTTGTGATAGAGGAATGAATAGCCGGACCGAGAAGGGTGAGCAAGTGAAGATGGCAGGTGGGGCTGGAATGCTACTAGTGAACACTGAAGATCAAGGTGAAGAGCTTGTTGCTGATGCACATATTCTGCCAGCCACTTCTTTGGGTGCTTCGACTGGTAGCGCCATCAAAAGCTATGTAAGCTCAGCAAAGAAACCAACTGCTTCCATAGTGTTTGAAGGCACAGTGTATGGCAATCCTGCACCTGTGATGGCAGCATTTTCATCAAGGGGACCGAGTTCTGTTGGGCCCGATGTGATTAAACCAGATGTTACTGCACCAGGTGTGAACATATTGGCTGCGTGGCCACCAAATGTCAGTCCAACCCGGCTCAAGAGTGACAATAGAAGTTTCTTGTTCAATATAATCTCTGGCACCTCAATGTCCTGTCCTCATGTTAGCGGCTTAGCTGCATTACTTAAGGCCGTCCACAAGGACTGGTCACCGGCAGCAATAAAGTCGGCCTTAATGACAACTGCTTATACCCTTGACAACAAGAAGGCTCCCATAGGTGATTCTGGGGCTGGTGGCTCAAAATTGGCTACCCCTTTTACATTTGGTTCAGGTCACGTTGATCCTGAGAAGGCTTCTGATCCAGGATTGGTTTATGACATAACCATTGAGGACTACCTGAATTATTTGTGTAGCCTAAACTATACATCTTCTCAAATGTCTCTTTTGTCAAGAGGGGATTTCACTTGTCCTAATGATGCAGCTCTTCAGCCTGGTGACTTGAACTACCCCTCTTTTGCAGTGCTTGTCAATGGTAATACCCAAAACATTACAGTCACATACAAGAGGACGGTTACGAATGTTGGGACCCCAGTGAGTACTTATGCAGTCCAAGTGGTTGAACCCAATGGAGTATCGGTCATCGTTGAGCCAAGAGTTCTAAATTTCAAGAAGTATGGTGACAAGTTGAGCTACATAGTCAGTTTTGTTGCAGGATCAACTAGTTCGGCCACTTCTTCATTTGGATCTCTTGTTTGGGTGTCCAGGAAATATAGTGTTAGAAGTCCAATTGCAGTCACTTGGCAATAGTCATCAAAAGTATTACAACGTTGTTAGTCATGGGCACATTTAAAGAAGTCAAAGAAATCTCTCCGTATACAGAGATTTCAAGCTTTCAGTTCTATTCGGTTATAAAAGATGGGGTTTTAATAAAGAAGATATGAATACTGAAATAGAACACAAGAAAGACAGATGATTTGGTTATGAAAAGAGTGACTGGTGTGATGCAGAATGGGAGTGGGGCTAATGGCCTAACGTTCATTTGTGCAAACATCATTGTCCGAAAATTAAGGTGTATTTCAACATCCAAAGAATAATATTAGTGTCATATAAAGTTATCAAGAAGAATATATATCGTGCAGTTTTACTTTAGAACATTAAGATTCCAAGTGGTATGAAAATTGACAGGTTATACAAGTCAATGTGCAATCTAGGCCTTAGATTTAAACCTAGTTCACAGTGCGTGGAGGGAAAAATCCTCCTCCAATAAAAGTCATCCACGTAGCTACAATAGAAGTTTTATTTTTAATCTCTTGATGGGTTACAAAAGCCCAACCCTGTTCAAACCCGGATAAAAGCACCAACAGCCCAAAGTCACTAATGTTCAACTTCCAGCCCATTAACAAAGTCATTCGGACCAAGATGCATTCGGCCCAAATTCATTTAAAAAAGGAATCAGTCCTGCTAATCAAATGATTCATAATTGAAGGAAAGCTTCATGCAAGGAAAGTTTGGCATAGAAAGAATTATAAAAAGGAGAGAACTCTATTTGCAAATAATGATGTATATGGAATGAATTGAAGGACAAGTAAGGCGAGTCCTACCATAATTCCACCACTTTTTTGTATATAAATAGAGACCTAGACCTCCAATAAAGATTATGGAGCAATACATGTTTTTCTCTAAATAATTATTGTTGTTTATTAATTCTTTTAGTGAGTTGTATTTTTTACTCTTTATTATTTTAGTTGATTGAAATTTTGCACCTAAAGATTGTAATAATGCCTTACATGTCAATCCTAGCCCTCTTGCCCATCCACTCCCTCTCCTTGGGATGTTTTAAGTACATGACTATAGGGCAAATTGCTTATAAAAAAATAAATAAACTCCTTGCCATCCAATTTTTGCACAAAACCCGCTTGACTAAAAATTTGACCTAAACCCCCTAACTATCGGCTAATAGGGCACATAAGCAAATACAAACATTATGAACTTGAATTTATAAGAGAAGAACTTGGGTGTGCTGTGATACCCCTCAAATCTGAGACACGGGTTGATCAGGCCCAGGCCTAAACCCGAGGGAATATCAAACAATTAATATTTTAAAACGACCACAGATGACAAAATGAAATAAAAATAAATATTAAAAGCTAAAAGAAACTAAAATAAAATCCTTTAAAGATAAATACGTAAAATCCTCAAATAATAAAGATTAAATAATCCAACTCCAAAACCTCCAAGGGTACAACTCGGGAATTCATCTAGTGGACCCCCAATAATAAAAACCAAACTGAATTGTAGAACTAAAAGAAATTCATAACTAAGTCATGAAGAGAGATCCTACGTCGTCGGTAGAGTGAGTGGAAATCTCTGCTCAGCACGATCAAGTCTAAGTCTGGAACTGTCGTTTACCTGAAAAATAGAAATGTGTCAAGCTGACGTGCAAGTTCTATACTACTACAATCCAAGCAGAGACCCGATACACATATACATCCTAAACAATTCAACAATAACTAATAGTCCATAAGTATATATATAATCACACTAAAGGACTCTCACTGACCTACAGGCCGGTCTCAACCTGAATAGAGGTAACATGCTAAAACGCACACGAAGTGGGCATGTGTACTAAAGTCTAGACAGGGTACACCTCCAACCATCGTAGCCAGCTATACATCCCAATACATATACGCTCCCTAACCGTCGATCCTGGGACTCAAGCTCATATTAAGGTACCATAACAATATATTTAAAATCTATCCTGTATCCTAGTAGTGCCGCTCAATTAGTCGTTACCATGACATTACAATCAATAGGACTTAACTTTTAGTTAATCCAATTCTTAATCCAGAGTAGGTAGGTTTTGGTATTTTTAAAACCAAACCGTTCCTAGTATACCACCGTCCCATACCGGTGTATACTATCCAACCATCCAACAATTGATAAAACAGACACTTAAGGTAAATATCAACTAAATCCATCCTTCCAACAATTGATACTAACAATGATAATGAAAGCATCAAAACAGAATTACAGTATATTCATAAACATACTCAATTTATAGTGTTTCATAAAATCCGGTATAGTGCTAAGTTAAATCTTAATAGCATTCAACATCCAGCAGTTGATATTACAGGCAATTACAATAAATATCAACAAAGTCCATGCCTCCGACAATTGATACTAACAGTGATAATGAAAGTATCAAAACAGAATTGCAGTATATACATAGACATGCTTAATCTGTAGTGTTTCACAAAATCCAGTATAGTGCTAAGTTTGTTTAAATCTTAAAGTCACTCAACACCAACTCATCCAAACAAATATAATTCAGATACATGATCATGATATATAGCGAAACATGTTTCAATTATATTATCCATCTCAGGAATTACTAATGCAGTGAGATAAACATTACAAGTCTTCTAACTCTAAACACAGCACTAGTTTGTTTAGATTGTACACTATCCAAGCTATCCTAAATAATCATTTTATTAACACCTCTTGGAACTTTAATATAGACCTAATCCTCAATTAAACCTTCCACCTTCAGTCCTATACCTGTCTACAAACTCCAGAATCCATCCCTTGCATGCAAAATTTACAGAAAACGAAGAAATAAAGGAAAACTGGAGCAAGAGCCTGCTCCAAACAAGTGTGAAACCCGCTCTTTGCCCTTGGAGCTGGCTCCCACACCTTGGGAGCCGCCTCCCATCAAAGGGAGCCGGTTCTCTCCCTCTCTGCCTCTTGTCTTCTCCGTTTCCGACCTGTTTACTCCTCTGTCACCTATCTACCATGGTTCCCAGAAATTATAACCCAACCCCAGTATGTTCCCAGTCCATGTTTAAGTCTTTATTCCATCACTAATATGAATTTAAATCAAGAATTATATAGGCAACTATCAAGTTTTAACAGTTTAACAACCATACAACACATACTGGTATAATTTAAACTTTAGCACGAACAGAGAATGTTTTTTAATTTTCAATTAATCCTGGAACAGTTTAGGAATGTAAAGAACATGAAGCCTAAGGGAGAGGGTAAGGATAGAACTTGTCTTTGAGATTCGGTTCAAAAATCCCAACGTCATCTTCTTAAGTTTCTCCGGCGAACTACCGTAATCCTCCTCTGTTCCTTCTCTGCCTCCACTGTCGTGAATAAGGTTCTAACCCTAGGCAGACATCTTAGGTGAATATTTATAGGTCACACTAATCCTAGACTCAACTAAACCCTAATTTGATTTACTTGGCCCATAGAACAACCTAGGTTATATTCAATGACGACTGTGAACTATAAACCTAATGTATGCAACCAATCCTACAATCACGTTAAAACTAATTAAATTTAATTAAATAAATTCATACCATTAAAGCAATAATTAAAACAACTAATTACAACAAAATAATTAAATAACAATTAAATAATTAATATAATTTAAAGCAATAAGTAAAACAATTAAATAAATTAACTACAACTAAATCAATTAAATAAACATATATACACTTAAACAATAAAAATTGAAATTAAAAAAAAAAGAAAATATTTAAACAATAAAGAAAACACCAGGACTATCCTTTTTTAAATTAGGGGTATTACATATGCCCGGTGCACCATGCAAATCTCCGTGTAATACAGGAGCGGGAGCGGTAATGAACGATCTTAATGTACCCGATGCACCGGGCACTCCCAAGTTATTCTCAATTTATTAGTACTTATGTACACAAACATAATAAAGGAATATCTAAACAAATGCTTTGACCTTGCTTCCAAAGTGGATGGTGAGGATTCGATTCCCAATGGAACAAAGTGGGATATGTGTTTCTTGCCAATGCCAACAAAAAAAATAAATAAATAAATAAATAAATAAATAATAAATAAATTTGACCTTCTTTCTTTTGTGAAACAACACACTACATTCTACCTTTCAAAAAAAAAAAAATCCTAAATTCATTTAAGCAATCAAGTAATTCAATTAAACAATTTCTTCCCAAGATAAAATAAATAAATAAATCAATCAAGTGATAATATAATCAAAACCCTAAATTCCAACACCTGCTAATTGCATCGCAACATCCATACGAAGTCGAATCAACAACCCTAATTACCAATCAAACCCAGCACATTTTCCACCAAAATAGTACCTGAAGCCGTTGTCCCCGCGACGAAGATCCGCATACAACTCTCCGGCGGACCCAATCATCCAACCCTGAACCAACGCATCGGAATACCCGAAAGCGCCACCGCAGCCACCGTCACTTATAACTCATCATACAGCGCCCTTAATGTACGTAACATCCGTAATGGGGAGAACGAGTAGGGCCAAGACAAAGAGACCTAGACCGACAATGATCGGAATAGATGAGTTGGATTTATGGATCAGGCCGACATTGATCCGAACGAAGAGTAGGATTACAAGTGAACATACTTTCCAGAATTCTGAGAGTACAAACATTTAATATTTTTTTTTATTTTTTTTGTTTTGTTTTGTGACAAAAGAGCAAAATACCCCCTTGTACTATACCTATGTTACAAAATGTCTCTGAACTATTTTTTGAAGCAAATTGCTCCATTCAACTATCAAAAGCAAACAAATGTTGGAAATAGTGGCCTAGTTACACACACAACACTATACTATTTGGAAGAGAATAGAAATGGAGGAAAACACTTTTTATTTCACTTGATTGAAAATGGGTACAATACATGGGTTTATATAGGCTTCAAAACATAAATGTAAATGAAAAATTAACACCCCACTAATATAACATTTAGTAGGCAAAACTCCCACTAACCTACTAACATGACCATTACTAGTTGTAACTCTCATGCCCCCCACTAACTCCAATAAAAACTCACATAAATATAAAATTAAACACCAAATAAAAAAGCACCCATGACCTTCAAAGACATTTTAAAAATATAATAAAGTTTAATTTCTAACACCCCTCCCCCCCCCCCCCCCCCTTAAACTTGATTTTTTTTCAACCCAAGCAAACTCCTTAACTTGTGAAAATCTACAAACTTGAGGGGCTTGGTGAAAATATCCGTAACTTGATCTGGTGACTTGATGAACTTGAGCTCCACCTCTTTCTTGGTTATGCATTCTCTAATGAAATGAAATCTTGTATTAATATGCTTGCTTCGTTCATGAAACACCGGATTCTTGGCCAAAGCAATTGTTGATTTGTTGTCCACAAAAATTTCCATTGACTCTTCTTGTAGCATGTGTAATTCCTTCAACAAATTCCTCAACCAAATTGCTTGACAAATACATGAAGTGGCTGCAACATATTCTGCTTCACAAGTTGAGAGTGTGACAATGGGTTGCTTCTTTGAACACCATGTAAAAGCAACATTTCCCATGAAAAAACAATAGCCAGAAGTACTTTTTCTATCATCCAAATCTCCAGCCCAATCACTATCAGAATAACCCACAAGCTTGAAATCATTAGAAAATGAATAGAATAACCCAAAATAAAGGGTACCTTTAATGTAACGAATAATCCTCTTAGCCGCCTTGAAATGAGTCATGGTGGGTCTTTCCATAAACCTACTAACAAGCCCAACTGCAAATAATATGTCCGGCCTTGTGCATGTTAAGTATCTCAAGCTTCCAACAAGACTTTTGAAAAATGTTGGATCCACCGTCTCTCCATCTTCATCTCTTGATAATTTAATTCCAACTTCCATGGGCGTGTTCACCAATTTACAATCTTCCATCTTGAATTTCTTGAGAATTTCCTTAGCATAGCCTTCTTGGTGAATGAAAATTTCATTTTTCATTTGCTTGACCTCTATTAGTAAGCCATGATGCCAATGTCCGTCATCTCAAACTCTCGAGCCATAACCTTCTTAAAATCTTCAAACATTTTTGGATTGTTACCTATGAAGATTAAATCATCCACATACAAGCAAACAAAAAATATATCTCCATTCTCACTTACTTTGGAGTAAAGAGCATGTTCATATGGGCAATTTGAAAAATTATTGTCTTGAAAATATTTGTCAATTCGCTTATTTCACACCCTTGGTGCTTGCTTCAAGCCATATAAAGCCTTCTTCAATTTCAAGACTTTGTTTTCTTGCCCCTTTACAACATAGCCCATGAGTTGTTGAACATATACCTCTTCTTTAAGAAACCCATTCAAGAAAGCCGATTTTACATCCATTTGGTGGATTCTCCAATTGTTTTAGGCTGCCAAAGAAATTAACAATCTAATTATTTCCAAATGAGTTACGGGTGGAAATACCTCATCATAGTCAATTCCAGGTTTTTGGTTGTACCCCTTGGCGACCAATCTTGCTTTATATTTTTCAACTTCACCATTTGCATTCTTCTTTGCTTTATACACCCATTTGACACCAATTGCCTTTTGCTCTTTTGGAAGTGTAGCAAGCTCCCATGTGTCATTCTTCTCTATGGATTTAATTTCTTCATCCATAGCATTTCTCCATTTTTTGTCGTGTGCCGCCTCTTCAAATCCTACGGGTTCACAATCCACAAAGAGACAAAAAAGTATTAGATCACCTAACATTTCCGTTACCTCATCCGTTTCGTCATATATGTCACGAAGACTCCTTATGCGAAGTGGTGGTGTATCACTTGAACTTGATGATGATGGAGTTGATTGATCTTGAATTGATGGTGATGGAGGTGATGTTAGTGGAGAAATGGGCTGCTACATGCCTTCATTATCTTGCTCCTCTTCCGAAATTGGAAAAATATTATAGTCTTCATTTGGAGTATTCCAATCCCATGTGGCTCCCTCTTCGAATTCAACACTTTACTAATGACAATCTTCCCATTGCTTGGATTGTGCAACTTGTAGCCTTTGAAACTTGCATCATAGCCAATGAACACCATTTTTTCACTTTTGTTGTCTAACTTGGTCCTCTTTTCATCCGCCACATGCACATAAGCCATGCTCCCAAAAACCCGCAAATGAGAGACACTAGGCTTTCTTCCGCTCCATGTTTCTTGTGGTGTTTTGTCTTGCACATTTCTAGTAGGACACCGGTTAGACAAGTACACCGCACAATCAACCGTTTTAGCCTAAAATTCTTTAGGCATTTCCTTGCTTTTAAACATGCTTCGAGCCATATTGAGAATGGTTCTGATCTTTCTTTCTGCAACTCCATTTGGTTGGGGCGATCTCGGAACCGTTAAAGGATGGTGAATTCCATTTTCTTCACAAAATTTTTTGAAATTATTTGATGTGAATTCACCACCTCTATCGGATCGAAGAGCCTTTACATCATAGCCACTTTGTTTTTCAACAAGTGCTTTAAATTTCTTAAAAATTTCATACACTTCCGATTTTTGTTTAAGAAAATACACCCATATTTTTCGGCTAAAATCATCAATGAATAATAAAAAATAATTATTCTTACCAAATGATGATGGAGAAATTGGACCACAAACATCCGAATGGATAAGTTGTAGTGGCGCCATAGCTCTTGTGGTAACTTCTTTAGGAAAACTTTTCCTTGATTGCTTTCCAACGAGACATCCTTCACATAATTGATTTGGATTGCTAATGAAAGGCAATCCCTTCACCATCTTCTTTTTGGCCAACAACTCTAATCCTCCAAAATTCAAGTGCCCAAGTCTCAAGTGCCAAAGCCAAGTTAAATCATTAAAACAAGCCTTCAAACATTTGGCCTCGTCGGCTTGAATATTTAACAAAAACATACGGTTCTTTGTCATTGGAACCTTGGCAATCAAATTACCCAATGGACCTCTTATCGATAAACTACAATCCTTCATGGAAATATTATAGCCTTTTTTTCTAAGAGTTGTCCCAAACTCAAAATATTATTCTTCATATTAGGCACATAATAAACATTAGAGATAAATTGATGATGCCCATTCCTCAAACAAATCAATATTTTACCTTTCCCTCTTACCGGAATTTGTGATAAGTCTCCAAATGTCACCTTGCCATTTATTGATTCATCAATATCAACGAACTTCTCTTTGCTACCACACATATGGTTGCTAGCACCAGTGTCAAGATACCACACATTTTCTTGATCACTCCTTTCACCTTTGTATGCCAACAATAAAGTTAGCTCCTGTGATACCCCTCGGATCCGAGACACGGGTTGATCAGGCTCAGGCCCAAACCCGAAGGAATATCAAACAATTAATATTTTAGAAACGAACACAGAAGACAAAATGCAATAAGAATAAATATTAAAAGCTGAAAGAAACTAAAATAAAATCCTTAGAGATAAATACTTAAATCCCATAATCCAAACCTCCAATAGATTAAACAACTCGGGAATCCATCTCTAGTGGACCCCTAATAATAATCCGAACTGTAATAAAAATAACTGAAAGAACATCCCAAAATAAGCTATAGAGAGAAGTCCTACGTCGTCGGTAGAGTGAGTAGAAATCTCTGCTCAGCACGATCTCGTCTAAGCCTGGAACTGTCGTGTACCTGAAAAATAGAAGTGGGTCAGGCCCATGCGCAAGTTCTATACTATTACAATCCAAGTAGAGACCCGATACGCATGTACATCCTAACCAATCCAACAATAACTAAATAGTCCGTAGATATATATATATATATTCACACTACAGAACTCTCACTGGACTACAGACTCGTCTCAACCTGACTAGTAGGCACCATGCAAAGCGCACCAAGAGTGGGCATGACTACCTAGACCTAACAGGGTACACATCCAACCATCATAGCCAGCTATGCATCCCAATGCATATACATTCCCTAACCAACGACTCTGAGACTCAGGCTCATATCGTGGCACCATAAAAATATATTTAAAATCCATTCCAAACCAATGTGTCACTCAACTGTTTAATGATTTGACACAAAAATACAGGTAAGACTTAACTTTTGTAGTTAATCCATCCCTTAATCCGAAGTAGGTAGAACTAATCCCCTTGGTATGTCACCGTCCCATACCGGTGCATACAAACCATCCATTCAGTGTTGATAATATAGATAACAGTAAACATATCAATATCAACATATCCAATGCAAGTATAACAAGAATGTGTAAAATAGCATGCTTGTTCAATACTACTAGTACATGATTCTCTAACAAATTTAAAATGCAGAGAACAGATATAACCATCATGTAATCCATAATAAACATAATAATAATAATATTAACATGCTTGCTTGTAACCATACCACCATACTCAGTAAGTTGATAAAAACCACAATTTTGTAAACATCAACTAATTCATTATTAAGCACCACAGAATTTATTTAAGTTGACATGTTTAATCTCTTACCCCTGCTACATGATTTAAATATCAAACTCCTAATTCAATTGCTAATTTAAAATTAAACAACTTGAATCATCCGCAACAAAGCAACCATGTAAACTTTCTTAAAAGTTTTATATTGTCTCTTATACTAACCTCCTATGGTATAATATGTATTCCACGACTTTTGAAATTTTAATAGGAACTTAAACATCACTGAGAACCTCTAATTAAACCCTCAGTTGACCCCGGAAACCCATTAACCCAAGCACAGTAGCTAACAGTCTCGCAGAAAACCAAAAAAAATCTGAAAACCCTTTAAGGAGCCGGCTCCACACATGGTGGAGACGCCTCCAAGGCTTTAAGAGCCGGCTCTACTCATGGTGGAGCCTGCTCTACTCTTGGGTGAGCCTACTCTTTTCAAAATAGAGCGGGTTCTTCCCCTGTTCCCTCGTCTCCTTCAACTCCGGTGATGTCTGGCAACTTTGTTCCTCCAAACCAAGTTTCTTACTGATTAAAACTAAACCCTAGTGTGTTCCAGAGTTAATTAAATTCATTACTTATTAATTAAATTCAATTAGAACAAGAATCAAGCAAAAGCAATTTCAAAGCGAGTAGAAAACACATACAAGAACCCATACTGTTTTGAAACAAATAATTGTGCAATCAAATTAATTTATCTTTATTCCATCCTGGGATTGAATTATGGATGCAAAGAACACAGGCCAAAGAGATAGAGTTAGTTATAGAACTTGCCTGTGAGATTTGGTTCAAAAATCTCAACGTCTTTCTCCTAAGCTTTTCCGGCGATTCTTTCGTTTTTCCCTCTCTGTTCTATCCCAGATTCCTCTATACACCTCTCATTCTCTATATGCCGTGAATAAGGTTCTAAAACCCTAAACAGAATGTAGTACATGTATTTATAGGCCACCCTTAAACCTAAGTCCAACTAAACCCTAAACTGAAACTCGGCCCATAGAACAACCTAGGTTTTATTCCAAAGTTGGCTGACCTGAAAACCTAATAACTATATGAGTGCCACCTTCCATACAATCACGTTAAGATATAAACTAATTAAATTTAATTAACTAAATTCAATGTAAACAAGTTTGTAATTAATACAACTAAAACCAATACGTAAAACAACTAATAATACAATTAATCAAATAATCAATTAAAACAAAACAAAAGTCAATTAAAATAACACTTAAATCAATTAACTTAACACATAAACACTTCAGCAATTAAAAATGCAATTTAAACAATAAAGTAAATCTAAAAATGCAATTTAAATAATAAAGTAAATCTAAAAATGCAATTTAAACAATAAAGTAAATACCAGGACTATTCTTTTGAAATTAGGGGTATTACAGCTCCACTTCTTCATCAACAAAATTAGCCTTTTCTTCAACATTGTTAGCAACATTTCTACATTCCGAAGCATAATGACCATACTTTTGACAATTGTAACATTGAATTTGAGACTTATCGTACCTCCTTCCATATGACCTTGAGTAATTTCCTCTACCACGACCTCTTATTTGTTATGAGTCATGGACTTTTTCTTCATTGTTGGTTGCGTGTTAGCCGCTTCTTTCTCCTCTTCCACGGCCTCTTCCTCTTCCTCAGCCACGTGCATTTGCATGTCCTCAGCCCCTTTAATTTCCTCTATGTTTTTCGTCTCTTTCGTTCAACGAAAACTTTGTTTGTAGCACTTGCTCCAAAACTTCTTGTTTCTTTACCACCTTTTCTTTATAAGCTTGCAACAAACCCATGAGTTGATCAACAGTCATGGAATCCAAATCCTTTGACTCTTCAATGGCTACAACAATGTAGTTGAATTTGGAATCCAACGACCGAAGGATCTTTTCAACGACCCTTGTATCAGTCATAGTGGTTTCGCCATATCTCCTTAATTGATTTACAATAGCCAGTACCCTCAAAAAATAATCTGAAATTGATTCAGATTCCTTCATATACAATGCTTCAAATTCACCCTATAATGTTTGGAGGCGAACCTTCTTCACTTTATTAACTCTTTGGAAGGAATTTTGAAAAATCTCCCATAGTTGCTTTGCATTTTCTACACTAGCAACTCTTTATAGCATTCCATCATCCAAACATTGATGGATGGTCATAACCGCCTTTTGGTCCTTCTTTCTCATGGCTTGTAAAACATCTTTTTCGGCTTGAGACAAAGTTGCCTCAACTTCTGGCTCATCATAACCTTTGGAAACAACTTCCCACACATCTTGTGCTCCCAAAATTGCCTTCATACGGATACATCAATTTTCATAGTTATCTTTGGTGAATCGAGGCATTTGAAATGGAACCGAATTGTTTACCATTTCTTCTCTCTCTCATAAACTAGCTCTGATACCACTTTATTGAAAATAGTGGCCTAGTTACACACACAACACTATACTATTTGGAAGAGAATAGAAATGGAGGAAAATACTTTTTATTTCACTTGATTGAAAATGGGTACAATACATGGGTTTATATAGGCTTCAAAACATAAATATAAATGAAAAATTAACACCCCACTAACATAACATTTAGTAAGCAAAACTCCCACTAACATGACCATTACTAATTGTAACTCTCATGTCCCCAACTAACTCCAATAAAAACTCACATAAATATAAAATTAAACACCAAATAAAAAAGCACCCATGACTTTCAAAGACATTTTAAAAATATAATAAAGTTTAATTTCTAATAACAAAATGCTCCTTTAAAAGTCACCGAAACTAATTTCTGACCCACAGAAGAGCATAATTACTAATTTACCATTATTTATTAATTTATTATAATAAATCAAAATATCTGTTATCTTGAAATGACCACTTTGCCCCTATCTTCTTTCCCGTTTCATTTTTTTCTTTACGTTTTTTTTCATCTCTCTTTCACTTCGCCACCCACAATCGCCACCACCCCTCCTCTCTCTTCTCCACTGATGTCGCTGCCCATCATCTCCACCACCCATTCTCTCTCTTCTCCACTCCATCCATGTCTATATATGTATATGTATATCTAGGCAGCGACATTAATGGAGAAGAGAGAGGACCCAAAAAAGAATAAGAAGAAGCAATTAGATTCTCCTTGTAACAACAATTTGTACAACTCTTGAAAATGGCATAAGTTCAAGAAAATCAAGTTGTAATAGTGATACCAAAAGCCTTCCACTTCTCCACTGTATTCTTAGTTTTTTCACAGAAGTTATAAACGCACAAAAGCACAATTTTCAAATTTGAAATTCAAAACCTAAAATGAAAATATCTACCGGATCACATCAAACACATATTGTAGAAAAAGGAGAAGTTTACTCTAGCGTCATCTCTCCCCAATTGAAAACCCTAAATCAAAATTACTCTGAAATGGGTTTCTTTAGTTTACAAAAGGACGAGAGCACAGCTTCAAAGAAAATTTTCTGTTACATTCTATCATAAAGGAATATATCTAATAGAAAAGCACAAAAAGTACTCGAAACTAATTCAAATTACAAATTCAGAGCTAGTTAAAACCCTTCGATTATATAACTCCACAGATCACAAACAAGAACTAAACGATGGTCTTTAAATACCCATATCTCATCCATGTTCGTATATGTATATGTATATGTGGCCAGCGACATCAGTGGAGAAGAGAAAGGAGGGGTGGTGGCGATGGTGGGTAGCGAAGAAAGTGAAAGAGAGTTGAAAAAAAAAATGAAAGGGGAAAGAATATATATATATATAGGGGCAAAGTGGTCATTTTATGATAGCAGATATTTTATTTTATTATAATAAAGGGTAAAGTATAGCCACATCCCTGAGGTTTGGTAAAAGGACATTCAGATGAAACTTACCTATTTTTTGGACTAAGACACCCTGAAGGTTCAAAAATGGACAAAGACACTCATTTATATAAAACAATTGACCAAATTACCCTTTGACTGTTTAGGATACTTTTTTAACTTTACAATTTAATAAACTGGACCAATCTACCCTCATGAATAATTTATGCATAAAAAAATAAAAAAAATAAATAAAACTTTATATTGTTCACTTTTTTTTTCAGTTATTTACTTTATAAATGTCCCAACTTCTTAAAAATGTAGATATCTAAAATGATTTTTTGATTCAATACATATATTTTAAATAAATTATATTTTGTTATTACTTTTTTTCTTTTTTATTTTTAAATTAAGATGCTTAATTCATTCATCTAAAAAAATTAAACCAATCCCTTTTCCTTAAAAATAAAAAATATGGTACCAGTATAACTTTATGCATCTTAAATTATATATCAAATATTATGTATTTCCCAACATAAAAGAAAATAGGTACCAATATAACTTTATGCGTGCCTTTGTTTTTTTTTTTTTTTATCCCTTTGTTTTATTATTTTTTTCCCATTTGTTTTATTTTTTTTTCCCTTTGCTTTATTATTATTATTTTTCCTTTTATGTTGGGAAATGCATAATATTTGATATATAATTTAAGATACATAAAGTTATACTGGTACCATATTTTTTATTTTTAAGGAAAATAGATTGGTTTAATTTTTTTAGATGAAAGAATTAAGCATCTTAATTTAAAAATAAAAAAGAAAAGAAGTAATAACAAAATATAATTGATTTGAAATATATGTATTGGATCAAAAAATCATTTTCAACGTCTACATCTTTAAGAAGTTGGGACATTTATAAAGTAAAAAAAAAAAAAAAAAAAAAGTGAACAATATAAAGCTTTTTTTTTTTTTTTTTACTTTTTTTTATGCATAAATTGTTTATGAGGGTAGATTGGTTCAATTTATTAAATTGTAAAGTTAAAAAAGTCTCCTAAATGGTCAAAGGGTAATTTGGTTAATTTCTCATGTAAAGGGGTGTCTTTGTCCATTTTTGAACCTTCAAGGGTGTCTTTGTCCAAAAAATAGGTAATTTTCCTCTGAGTATCCTTTTGCCAAACCTCATGGGGTGTGACTGTACTTTACCCTATAATAAATTAATAAGTAAGGGTAAATTAGTAATTGTACTCTTCTGTTGATCTGAAATTAGTTTCCGGTGAATTTAAGGGGGCATTTTGCTTGTTTTTGATAATTGAAGGGAACAACTTGCTTCAAAAAAATAGTTCAAGGGGGCATTTTGCAACATAAGTATAGTACAGGGGGGTATTTTGCTCTTTTGTCTGTTTTTCTGTTTTTTTTTTTTTTTTCTTTTGCCAGAATTTGATGTACTCAATTACCAAATTGGGCCTCAGTCAGTTAGTCGTTTAAATGTTGTTCTTTTTTTAACTTTTAACCCTGTCAAACAAAAAAAAAAAAAACTTTTGACTAAAATGAATTCGAGTCTTCTAATTTGTACTAGTTTGTAGTAGTTCTTTTATGAAATTAAGTTATGATTCAAATTAGTTGGCAAGAATAAATCTGATTAATTATCCTAGTATTAATTTCCTTGTTTACATGTGAGTTCAGAATTATAATAATTAAGAGACTTTGAATCATGTGGCTTTTATAGTTTTATATATTTCTACTAGTTTGTTTTTTTCTTTTTTTCTTTTTTTCTTTCAGATTTAGAAATATGATTAATTAGGTTGGCAAGAATCATCTTATTGATTATCCTAAATTTTGCTTGTTTAAATCATATGGGTTAAGAGCTAAAATATCAACCGACTTTAAATGCATGATTAGTATTTGTTTTTAGTGGCGTTTTATATATTTAAACTATGTTATAATTATTTAGGTTGGCAGGAATCATATTATCTGATTTAACCCTATTATTTGCTTGCTTAATAGACATGTAGCTAGGTTTAGTATGAAAGCAAAAATTAGTTCAAACTTTAAATTATTGTTTTCAACTTGCAGGGGGATGCGGCCCCCCCCCCCCCCCCCCAAATTATTAACTTTTATTAGTATAATCTAAAATGAAAAATAGTATAAATAAATGCATACTTGGCTCTCAGAATATTTTTTAACTATAAATGGCTTCTAACTTTCTATTAAAAATACTTAAATATTTTCTAACTATAAATAGTTTTTAACTTTCTATTAAAAATACACGACTTTTTTATACTTTTTTTTTTTCTGTTTTTACTTGCCCCTAGAATATTTTCTAATTATAAATAGTTTCTAACTTTTTATTAAAAATACACGACTTTCTTATACGTTTATTTTTCATTGATGATAGCAAAGCTACCAATCGATAATATATAAATTTTATTGTCTCAAAGTTAATTATTTGATCTTTTGTAGTAATTATTTGGTCTTTTTGATTAATTTTTGTATATATTTATGTCATTTTTGACTAAATATAGTCCCTTTTTTTTTTTTTAACACAAATTGGCTAAGGATTAGTTTGATAAATTTTTGTATGACTATAATCGATAATATGGGTTCTGGAGTCCACCGAAAATTTTTTTTTTTTGTTCGCTAGAGGTAATTTTAGCCCAATCCCACCCCCCCCCCCCAAAAAAAAAAAAAAAAAAAAAAAAAGTACTAGCTCACCCCATAATAAATTAGCCCACCTCATTATATAATTCTTGATCCCTTCTTGAATATATATATATATATATATATATATATATGATTTAAAATAGTCTTATATTAATTGTAAGTTCGGCCCCAACTATAAAATCCAGTCTCCGCCCTGCATGAAAGCAATTCAAAATTCAAAACTTGATAACCAAAGTTTGCATATGCTGCAACTCGAATTCTGTGAAGCACGAACTTGAAGGTTAATTAACATTAAATATTTGGAATGATTGCAGGACTAGCTTTCAGATTTGGAATCATATACTTAATTAAAAGCGCAAATTGATGCCTGAAATATTATATATATATGAATATGATAATGTTCAGGCCTAGCTATCAGTTCTGGAATTAAATAATTAAAATCACACATGAATATATATGTCTGAAATATACTCCTTTCATTTTATAAAAAATATTATTTTTAAAGAACTGTAACTTTCACAAATTAAATTATTACAATTTCTTAAAAATGGCACTTGTTTTTGGTACAGAAATAGTAATATATATTATATGAATATGATTATGTGATAAGGCTGAGTGACTATGCAATTAATGGCAATGAATTAAAAATCAGCTTTTCCGAAGATCAAAGCTAATTAAAAAATACACACATGGATGCAGATGGAGAAAGGCTGGTTTCCACCAATTGATTGATTCTTGTCTTGGATGTCGAACCTATATATGTTTTCTTCTTCTCTGTCGCTACCATTTTTTTTATTATTATTTATAAAGATACCTTTTTGTTTAATAGTTTTATAAATTT